TAGGATTACCTGCAAATGTGTTTGTGGGCCAAGTGTTACTGCTTTCTCAGAGTGCTCCCCTGATTAGTCATCAGCAAGCATACATCTTGCTTTTAAGATTAAAGTGAGAATTGATTTTCTATTGTGCAAGAAGCAAAGGCCACGAGATGTATGTGCAGCCGGTGAATGGTAAAACTATGTAGACGTGTTCAGCTTCCCATCCCATTAGTTTAATAAATGCAATGCAGTGACTGTGACCCACTGAAGTTATTACAAACTCTTGGATTTTTAAAAATTACATGCTCGAAAATGTAATTTTAGATATTACGTTCCTCTCTTTTTTCCCCCTTGTATTTGGTGACTTTCTTTTTTTCAAAACTGAAAGCACCATAATTTGTGGTAATTTATTGCCCTTGTGTAGATGATGCAGCTTTAAAAAAATGCTAAGTGTGGGTGTTTTAATAACATCACTTGCATGTCCAGTGCATTTCTGATTCAATTACTGTAATCCCATACCGTAATAGGATGATAAGGCTGGTGGAGTGGCTGTTGATTTATTGAAACTACCTATCAGATACCTATCCATATGGATGAAAGTCACATCTGAAATATAATTCAGAAATGTGCTTTTCCCCCATCAAATGTTTTACTTGGAGGGGGTGAGGAGAGGACTGTTTAATGCACAGAAGCATGGTGCGTGGACCCTTGAAAGAAAAACACATGTTTGGATAGATACGTTTCTTAAATTAGGTATCACTGTAAAAGTCAGGGGTCTCTCCATACATCTGGAGAAATCGGGAGGAGCTTCAGACAGGGAGCGATAGATTCAGCAAAATAAGTTTCTTCCCTCCTGCTCATCATTTTGGTTCCCCTTTTTCATTTTTTTGAAGCTCTTCAGTCAGTGGGAACACAAATGGAGAGAATGAGGTATGTGTGTAATGGGATTGGTGGTGGAAAACACAACACTCCTCCCCCTCCCTCGACTGTCTCCTCTCTTCTCCACATTATTCTGCAGCATCTCTCAATTTACTGATCCAGCTTTTCAGAGGATACAGGGGCATTCAGGATTAATACATTCCGGCAGTTCTTTCTTCCAGTAAAAGCTTTCATTGGGTTAGGGGGCTTCCATTGATGGAAAGGGGACTCTGGATTCCAGTCAATCCTTGAGTGACAGGTGGTCAGAAGTCAGAGCTGGAAAGACCAAGCCTGAAAGTGTACATTAGTGCCTGGGTCTTGATAGTGGTTATGGTTATTTGTTCTTAGATTTTGGAATTACTTTGCTTTTTTTTTGTTGCATGCAGTCTTGATTATGTCCATATTTAGACCTTTGAACTTCTGTATAAATTTTATCCATCCAGAAGCATTTTCACATTAATAATGGCAATGATGTGTTAAATTTAAATTTAATGACAAAGAAATAAAGGGAGACTAGTATAGCTATTTCAAGCTGTATCTATATTCACAGCTTGAAATAGATCTATACTGGTCTCTCTTCATTTCAGTAAATTTAAATTTAACACAAAATAGTTTGGCGTGGAAGCGACCGCCTGCAAAGACTCCTGAATCGGGGCTGAAAGGTGAAAGCAGAATCAGTATGCTCCATCCCATAATTGGATAGACCAAGTTGTCCTGATAGACTGATCTCACCAGAAAAAACACTTCACTGCAGTGATGGCTTTTGAAACATTTCTTCAGCAGATTGACCTGGCTAGCCAAATTTCTTTGGGGAGCATTCGGTAGATAATGTACCTGACGTTATCTGTGAGATGTTTGGAGGCTGGGTGCAATTCTGGGATTTGGAAAATATGAAGAATAGGAATATTGCTCAGGGAACCCATCAAGAAGAAAAGCCAGATATTTCCTTTTTCTTAATCAAATCTTAGTGCAGACATTCAGTTCAGTGGTGGGATTCATCTACCTTCCCTTCTGGTTCGCAAATGTGAGAGTGCGCCTGCAAGCACTCACTTCGCTTGCATGCAACACGTTCTGCACATGTGCAGAAAGTCGCACATTACATCAGGGCGAGTGGGTGGAGCCTCCCACAGCCACCGCTACTGGTTTGCCTGAACCGGAGAGAACCAGTTGAATACTATCTCTGGTTCAGTTGAATGTTTAGAAAACTTTGAGCTGCCCTGAAAGGTGGGGTTTGTATTTATCTGTGCTTGAATGTAAGTATTGTTGTAAGTGTGATCTGGTTCGTTTGAGTCTTGGATTATATGAAAAAGCTGACAGGCAATCCTTGACATAGAAGTATCTATGTGGAGTTTAAGGACCAAATAATATTACTCCAAGTAAAGACGTGGAACTGCTATTATTATGTAGGGTAAGTAGTCCTCAATTACCAATAAAGGAGAATATTTTTAGCACTCCCAGGTCTTCGGTGCACTCTGAGCTTGGTTGTTTTCTTGCAAACATTTCCTTATCCACACTAGGTATTGATAATCTAAAACACTGATGTTACCTTGTTTGAGTAATGGAATGTCTGCAAAAAAACCCAACCAAGCTCAGGAAGCACCAATGACCCTTCAGTCCTTGTTTAGCAACTGCTTAGTTGCTAGTTTAGTTTCATTTAGCAACTGTTTGTAGTTGTGATAGTGATAAAAACTTAACTTTGCAACCAGTCCTGATATTTATGGCTGTCACGGGTCTGTAAGCCAAAGGAAAACTGAAGTGAAAGTATAGAGCATGTTTTACTTAGCAGCCATTTTGCTTAATGACCAAATTATGGGTCCCAATTGTGGTTGCTAAATGAGGACTAACCATATAAACTTTCAACAACGAACAGGTAGATCCTGAGGCATTTATTCTGCCTGAGTGACAGTAGGGCTATGTATTTGCATGACCCGACAAAAGGGCGAATGACAAAACCACGCCTGACTAAACCACAATGTCATCAATGCGCCGACAACAGTGCGGCACCACAGTGCGGAGACAGAAGGACGCTTTACAACAGCGCGTCGACAGAAAGCCGATTTAACTTAAGGTAAGGGTTAGGTTTAGGGTTAGGGTTAGGGTTAGGGTTAGCATTACGTTTAGGGTTAGGGTTAGGTTTAGTTTTACAGCGCGCTTCTGTTGCCGCGCTGTTGTCGGCGCGATTCAGTCCTCATTCGTCAGAGCGCTTTAGAACACGCGGTTTTGTCACCGCGGTTTAGTCGGGCGCGGTTTTGTCATTCGCCCTTTTGTTGGTGAACCTGTATTTGTTTCTAGACTCACTTGATGATATTTGTGAGGCTTTAATAGTTCTGTCTGCATTGATATAAGCAAACCGACACAGCTGAAGCCACGCTCTCTGATCCACAAGCAAAAGCAATGAGATTTGTGAGTAAGGCTGGACAGCACTCCAGAAATAATTCATAAAGGGTGCTTTGGAGTGTACAAGAGGATGAAGGTAACATCTGCCTGCCACTCTGAAGCAAGCAGCCTTGTCTTTTCCCAGCATCATTAAGCTGTCTTTGAAGTTGCCATGTGATCTCGGGGAAAGTAATGGCCACTTTGCAGAGTTGCGAGCAGATGCTGTTGCGATATATGTGAACTTCTGCATACTGCAGAACCTTTTTGGAATGGAATCCAAAGCACTTCAAGGCTCTGTTGGTGAGTTCCATAGGCAGGACCTCTTCAATGGAATTGGAGATTTTAACAGATTAACAGAGTCGGAAGGGATCTTATACTGCAGGCCATCTAGTCCAACCCCCTGCTTAAGCAGGAGACTACACCATTTCTGACAAATGGCAGTCCATTCTCTTCTTGAAAGTCTCCAGTGATGAAGCTCTCACAACTGCAAGCTGTTGTGGGAGCTTCAGGCAAGCTGTTCCATTGGTTGATTGTTCTCACTGTCAGAAAGTTGCTCCTTATTTCTAGGTTGAATATCTACTTGGTCAGTTTCCATCCATTATTCCTTGTTTGGCCTTCAGGTGCTTTAGAAAATAGCTTGACTCCTTCCTCTCTGTGGCAGCCTCTCAAATATTGGAACACCACTATCATGTTTCCCCTGGTTCTTCTCTTCACTAGACTAGCTATGCCCAGTTCCTGAAGGCCAAACAAGGAATAATGGATGGAAACTGACCAAGTAGATATTCAACCTAGAAATAAGGAGCAACTTTCTGACAGTGAGAACA